AGGAAGGGAATATAGGTCTCCTGAAATTGGCAGAGGTGCTGCTTTGAAAGCTACAGCTTGAAAAGCTGCTGGAAGCAAACAGAAGCTGGGAATTCTAGAATGATCTTAGAGCGAATAAAGAGGCTGCTGCTGCTTAGAAACCAGTAGGGAGTGAGAAGTGGGAAAATAGTAATTCATTGCTATGCATTATATTGTTCCAAGGCCTTTCAATAATTTTGCTCCTAGCCAGAACTTTTAGAGCCAAATAGAGAATTCCATGTCTTTAAGAAATTGGGAGCTCTAATGCTCCTCTTGAAGTAAGTTTTACTGAATTGCTTCAGTTTTGCCAAACTTTACCAGCATTACTGGTAGTCCTTGACTTGCGACTTCAGTTGAGCCCAGAATTTATGTTGCTAAATGAGAAATTTGTTAAAGTGAGTTTTGTCCCATTTTATGCCACATTAAGCGAACCACTGCAGTTGTTAAATTAGTAACACGGCTGTTAAGTGAATCTGGCTTCCCCATTGACTTTGCATGTCAGAAGGTCACGAAAGGGAATTGTGTGACACACACACACACCCCGGGACACTGCAACCGTCATAAATATGAATCAGTTGTCAAGCATTCAAATGTAAGTCGCATGACCATAGGGATGCTGCAATGGTCTTAAACATGAAAAATGATCATAAGTCACTTTTGTCAGTGCTGTTGTAACTTCAAATGGTCACTAAGTGAACTGTTATAAGGTGAGGACTACCTGCATTTTAGTATGCATTGCAATTTTTCAGGATTGCCACTCCCTTCATTCCATGTTATTACTGTAATAGGCTTCAAATTTCAGCCAAACTCAGTTAAGCTCATTCTGGTTATTGCTTTAGATAAAGTTGCATCTATATTAGTTCATCAATGGATACAAGGAGCAAGATGCCACAGATTCATGCATTATAAGTGACAAGAGTTTGGATTCTTAAGATAAAATTGATTAACAGTGTTTATCCTGTGCAGAAGTCCCTCACTGGAAGGATAGTTCAGTATCAAATTAGCCCTTTTTAATGAGCTCCTAACTGTAGAGAAAAATAAAGGAACTGGAACATTAAGGATGAAAGTAGATGCTATTAATAAGCTGGTCTGTGTTTGGGGTTTTGTGTATGTGTGATGTTCGCTTTGTTTTGCTATTTTGCAGAGGAATATTTGTCCTCTCATTGCTTCCCTATTAAGCCAGCTGGTAGTGACTCATATATTCAAAAACCAGAGGTATAAAACTATCCTGCTTGTGCTTGCAGGATCTGCCCAGCAACTGCATATTAGCAGATCTAAAGGCCTAAGCAAAATGGGTCACTGCTTTTATCAGCTGACATCTGGAAAAAAAATAGGAGAACTGAGTAATCAGGAGCAGAAAAATGGTTTATTTATTTTTATTTATTTATTTGCACATATTTATATGCCACCCTTCTCCCAAAGGACTCAGGGCGGCGAACACAAGCAAAAACATACAATAAAAATCTGAATTAAAACCAGTTAAAATCAAATAATAATAAATAATAAAACCCAAGGATCTGAATCAGCCCATTTGTTGAACTAGCCAAGTCTTCAGGCCTCGACAGAAGGAACGGAGATCAGGCGCCATCCGGAGCTCAGTGGGTAACTCGTTCCAGAGGATAGGGGCGCCCACAGAGAATGGCCCTAGCCCTGGACGTCGCCAGACGATATTGTCTGGTCAACGGTACCCTGAGGAGAGGTCCCCTGTGAGAGTGGACAGGACGGTGGGAGGCAGGCAGGAGATGGTCCTGCAGGTACCCTGGACCTGAGCCATGTAGGGCTTTATAGGAAAGTACCAGCACCTTGAAGCGGATCCGGAGGGCCACCGGTAACCAGTGCAGCTCGCGCAGGAGAGGTGTTACACAGGAGTAACGAGCTCCTGTAACAACCCGCGCGGCCACATTCTGGACCAGCTGGAGCCTCCGGGTGTACCTCAAGGGCAGCCCCATGTAGAGGGAATTGCAGTAATCCAAGCGGGAAGTAACCAGGGCATGAGTGACCGTGCGAAGGGCATCTCGGTCCAGGAAAGGGCGCAACTGGTGCACCAGGCAAACCTGTGCGAAAGCCCCCCTGGTCACGGCCGTCAAATGGTCTAAAGACAGCCGGGAATCCAGGAGGACACCCAATTTGTGAGCCCTTTTAATGGGGGCAAGTACCTCCCCCCCCCCATCAAAACCGATGGGACCTCTAGGACACGAGGTGCTGGCATCCACAGCCACTCAGTCTTGGAGGGTTTGAGTCTGAGTCTGTTCCTACCCATCCAGGCCCGCACCGCCTCCAGGCAACACAGGACATGCCTCCGGGACATCACAGAAAGGCCATCCCCGGGGTGGCCTGAGGTGGAGATGGGGTTGGGTGCTAGAAACCTGCCACTTGTTCCAATGGGTTGGTAGTTTTAATGTTTTTATAAAAAGAACAGCAATTGATAAATCTGTTCCTTTGCCTACTGAGCACAGCTAGCTTCAAGGCAGAATGTTATAATGAACATTCTATACTTGTTGACGCTTCTGTATCTACATTTTATGAAAAACTTACATAGACGTTATTTGGCAGCAGACAGATGGCCATTCCAGACCCAAGAAGGCCCCTCCTTTGAGAAAGGAAGTTGTGTATCACCTTACCCAAGGATAGATTTCCTTCAGTTTCCCTCAGCTAAACAAGTTTTGATTTCACTCCTGTCTTTTAAAAGAGAATTAAAAGAGGATGTGCCTCAAAAGTGGCTCCAACTGAAGCAGACTATGAACAAAACAATTCCATCTTTTACTTCTCTGTGACTGTAGGGCCATCAACAAGCACCAAGCAAACTTCTTAAAGCAAATACTGCCCATTTTAATAACAAATAAATGCTTTGAGTATTTTATCCAGAAGCCTAGAGGTACTTAAAATCAAACCATCTTTCTAAACAGCCTTTCCCATTTCAACTTGTTGTAACATATTATTTCTTTATTTGATTTACGGTCTGCCTTTCCTTCATGAGCTCACGGCAGTGTACGCTATGTTTCGTCCTCCATTTTTTCCCATAACAACTCTATGATACAAGTTGTGCTGAGGCAGAGTGATTTTCCATGGTTCAGGGTAAGTTAAAACCTGGATTTCCCACTTGTGGAGTACCTTGGCTCCGGTATAGTGGTATATCCATATTTCAATGTAGTCCTTGTTTAACTATTACACGTGCAGCAACCATTCAAAGTTAAATGGCATTGAATAAGGACACTTGTTAAGACCATTCCTTGTAGACGCGGCCATTGCAATGTCCCCATGGTTGTGATCACAATTCTGGTGCTTGACAACTGGCTTGCAATTACAATGCTTGTAGATCTTGCAGTCATGCAATAATCATTTGTAACCTTCATTGTTGGCTTCTGACAAGGAAAACCAGTGGGAAAGCTGGCAGGAGGTCACAAATGGTGATCATTGCAATTTGCTTAATGGTGGCAACCAGAATGGCTGCAACAGCTGTTGTAAGTCAGTACAATCATATGAGATCGTGCTTTATGATCACATTGCTTAGTGTCGGAGTTGCCAGTTGCAGTTCCCCTTTTTAGCAACTGCAGTTGGGACCAGCAACCTATTCACTAAACAAAACAGTCACTAAGTGAAACCAAGACTTTGCTTGCAATCTTATTTTCAGCTTTCCTTTGCTTCACAGACCTACAAAATGTAAATGTGAGGACTGGTTGCAGTTACTTTTTGATTACCATCTTAACTGTGAACAGTCTCTAAAGCAGGGGTGTCAAACTGGCGGCCCATGGGCCGGATGCTTCATGCGCAGGCCATGCCCATCCCAGCTCCGCAAAGGCAAAAAACATCGCAATACATCACGTGACGTGATCGAGTTTGATATCTGTGCTCTAAAGGAAGTAGTTACCAAATGAGGACTACCTATACCTCAGTTCCCAGCCTTCAACCATACTGGGATAGTGGGAGTTGCAACCCAGCATTTTGAGGAAGGCAGCCATTTCCTTATTCTAATGTTCTGCTGATGATACTTGTCTTCTCTCTAGTCCACTGGTTAAATTTTTAGGAATGATTTAGTTCACCATTATCCAGTAGTCTCCTGACAAGTCTTTCTTGGTACTCTCCATGTTATCATGTGAAGCTTTTTACTTCCGTTACTATAACTCGTATTCATTTGTTTTAATGGAAGACTGTTTTTTAAAATAGTTGTACAGAGATGCACCATAACTAAATACTGTAGTTCTTCAGAGAAATGTGTACTTTCTATCTAGGTTCCATTATTTTCTTGAGACTTGAGATTATTTTGCATTCTTTCTTTCCCAGTTCTTCTATACACAGATATCTTTTAATTCCCTTGATGCCCAGAGAGCATTAGCTTTATATGTACACAGTATCTGTTTTATATACTGTCATAATTGGTAAATACTCCCAGTAATTAAAATTATAAAAAGCAAAAATATATCAATGTAGTATTATTACCTACCATGATTCCAGAGCTCCATTAACTAAAGCAGGTTATTCAAGAATCAACTGCAGATGTGTTATTTCTTTTGTAATGTTTCTTTTCTATGCCATCATAATATAGCTTTGTCTTATGTGGCTGAACCAAAAGTTATGAGAAGAATTACAGTACCCTGTTTCCCCGAAAATAAGACATCCCCTGATAATAAGCCCAATCGGGCTTTTGAGCACATGGCAATAAGGCCAAGCATTTATTATAGGGTTCAAAAAAAATATAAGACAGAGTCTTATTTTCGGGGAAACATGGTATTATAAATCTATTATGAGAAAAATAATCAACCAGAGAGCTTTAGATGAGGATGAGGTGAAGAGTATTCGTTTCATGATTGTTGTTTGAATGTATGTCTTTCAGGAGTTTGTTTTATTAGGAGGTTTATCTTTATTTCTATCTTGTATGGTTAATTTACTCATTACTTTATCTTTTGACCTGAAACTGTAACTTGTGGTTTCTCTTCTTTGGAATCAAATATTCACACATCAGCTGTTTTTCTCCCCCTCTGCAGACAATCGCTAAAATGTCCCCAACTTCACTCAAGATAACTTTCCGGCAACTTAAAGAGGGAGCTTTTTTGAACCTGCAAGATGTATTCACAATGGAATATAGATTGAGTCAAGCATGCATGGTAAGACGTGTTGCATTTTGGCACTTTCTGAGCCAAGTATATTTTTATGTCACTAAGTATGGCTTACACGACTGCTGGTATTTCCTATAGTCCACTAAGGATATGAACAGGAATTCTGTTATCTATTCCGTTCTATTTTTGTACACTGTTGTCTGTGAACATATTAGACAAGGGGCAAACCTTTTAGCTAAAGATAGACAAACTATCCTTCTTCATACCATAATGTGAATTTTTTTTCCTTCTGTTTTACTGTTCCTAAATGAGAATTAGCTTCCCTTTTGTGCCTGACCTCCAAGATTTCAGTAATTATGTTTTATACCATTGATTTTAAATGTTAGCATTTGATCTTTGCAGTGCAAGTTACAGGACTTCTTGTTCTCTCACTGGCTTTGTTCAGTATTGTTTCATATTAACCTTAATAAAGAGGATGATAGCCAAGATGTGAAGAGTCCATACCAATCACACTTTAGTCACATATATCTCCATGTATCTCCACATTTGAGATCCATTTGGCCGATTGGCGTCTGATGTTGCTACTTTCTTGTGGGCTGTGGGAAAAGTGACATTAAGCTGAGTGGTGTACTTTCTCTACTTCTGTTTTTTTCAGGAGTTTGTATTCTTTCACTTAAGCTTTATTTTTTGGCAGCTACAACTTGCTTTGGTTTTGTGCAGGAGAAATCTCTTTTCTCACCCCTTCCCAAGAATGTATAAAAGAACTTATAAAGATTAATTCAAGGTCTAAAACAACCTGGATTGCCATTGTCACTTCAGTGAAGTCCTTATGATTTGTCAAGTGCTGATGAAAAAAACCTTTTGAGGGATTAACCAACCATAAATTGTACCTTGGAAAGTGTCCTTGCTTCTGGTTATCTCATCAACATAACAAAGCAGATATACTCAGGATGACCCCATTTTATGTATCTTTCATAAAGCTGTGTTCCATCAGATAAGAATGCATATGTTTTTTTCCTGAAGTAATTTTGAGTTTCTAGTTCAATCAAAACATTGCTACCCATTTTCTTCCCTCCCCCCGCCTCACTTGAGACTACACTATAATTCTGAAAGTTTGTCAAGCTTTAGCATTCTATATTGACTATACTTGGCTCTTTCAAGAGATTCAAAAGCTGTTGCTATGTTACAGGCAAAGAAAAAACTATTTTCTCCTTCCTCTGTCTCCCATTGGTTGATAGAGAACGTTCATGTTGTTGTTGTGCCTTCAGGTTAGTTTTTGACTCCTGGTAACTGCCTGGACTAGTCCCTGCAGTTTTTTGACAAGTCTTTTGGAAATGGTATACTGTTGCTTCCTTCCTAGCCCTGAGAGAGAGTGCCCAAGATCACCTGGCTCTATAGCTTTGTATCTAGCAGGACTAGAACTTAGTCTCCTGGTTTTTAACTTGATATTTTAATCACTACAGCAACTGGCTCATCTAGCTTGCATATTATTACAACTTCCACCACTATATTCAATGAAGACTCATTCTGCAGGGATGATGCAATGGCCATTATAGTCCCTTCCTGCTATCTGTCATACTGCCAGATGAACTTCTGGCATTATCATCTGGAATGCACTTCGAGTGAGATAATTTCATTTGAAAGGTGCACATGCCATCAGTTCTCCACTGACTTGGCTGTTCATCACCAGTAAGTGAGATTTGCTATTCTTTCACGTTCTGTATGTGAAGCTCAGAAATTAATACTGAAAAACCATCAATGGCTTATTTTCAAGTAGTAATCTTTACATCAAACAACTCTCCCACTGATCCTATGCAAAATCTAACACTTCCGTAGGGATCTGGAATCTGGAATCTCAAAGATGCAAGCTACAAATGTTACCAGATTGAAAATCAATATACAAAAGTGGCCTTTAGATGAGATATTTTTGTGTGTGGAGTTCTTGATGTTCTCTGAGCTTGGTTGTTTGCCCGCAGACATTTCATTACTCAACTAAGCAACATCTAATGAAACATCTACAAGCAAACAATCAACCCCGGAGAACATCCAAGACTCCAACAATTCAACCCTGTGCTACAGATATTCTTTCCTATTGGAAGATATTTTTCTTGCTATGGGAACAAAATATAGAAAGAAAATTGTATTTCAAAATATACTAGGAAATTACCTAATGACTTCTTTTATCTTACAGCGAGGCCATGACTTCTATGAAGGTGTCCGAGCAGGTAAAATTTGAAGCCATTCCAAGCCCATTTTAAGTGAATTACAATGCAGACCTAGTGAGATTCTTCAGAAACAATTAGTTCAAACATGTTTCTGGTGGCAGGGACAGTTTAAGACATGCTCTTTGGGCACAATATTTCTCTAGGATAGTTGCAAAATATATTATCTGGCGACTGCTTTTTATTTGAGAGTTTTAGTAATATTAAGTAATAAAGATGGTAGAAAATAATAATAAAATAAAATTAATAAAATTTAATAAAATTAAAATACAAATAAGATAATTAAAATAATAATTAAAAGAGTTAATAGTTATTCAGAACATCAAGCATATTGCTTCCTATTTCACTGGGTAGCAGAATGGGTAGCAAGCAATATGCAAAATTGAGCTGCTCTAAGAAAAATAACGTTCTATTGTGGTTGTGCTAGTATGTAAGATTATTCCAGGCATATGGTTTGCCAATGCAAAATCTATAACAGAAGATACCAAACAGAAGCATATTTCAACTGCCTTACAATTGGCGAGTATGACTTCCATAGCCTAACCATGGGGAGTATATTAGAAGGCTCAATGCGTCTTCCAGGGTAAGAGGAGATTTTTCATTGAAACATCTCAGTGCATTATAGCTGGAAAGAGGAGCAGTGGAGAGAGTTTGGAGGAGACCCCTCAATCCAACCATGGAGCTACTGGTGATAAGGACATGCAGTGTGGGGGAGGTATAAAGACTCACCACTGAGTTTGAGTTGAGATTGAGTGTTTTATATTAAATAATTTGTTGATGTTTGGCTTAAAAAATAATCATTACTGCTCTTTCTGACAAAAATTGACTAGATTAGGAATACAAATAATAAAATGCCTCTAGTGGGCTGGCACAAAAAAAAACCCATTAAATAAATAAATGCTTTAATGTTGGATTCTCAGTCATTCTGTTTTCAGGAGATGAGAATATAAGGTATTTTTCTATTCAAGAAATCCAATGAATCAGTTTCATCTTTTATAGAAAATGCATAAATCATACATAATGTACTGATCTCCACAATGGTTTATCTTTCATACATGGTAAGAATCAGGGGTGGGTTCTACTTACCTTTACTACCAGTTCGCAATGGGGCTGCTCTGCGCAACTGCAGAAGCATTTTGATGATGTCGGGGTTGGTGGGCAGGGCCTCCTGCCGGTTTTACTACCGGTTCTATAGAACCGGTGTGAACCGGGGGCAACCCACCACTGGTAAGAATACTATAAAATGATCTTTCTAATATGATTATTAAGAAAAGCATAATTGAAAACATTTTTCTCTACTAGTACTTATCGACAAAGACCAATCCCCTAAATGGAAGCCAGCTGTTCTTGAAGAAGTAACAGATGAATTTTTGGACTCATGCTTTAAGTCTCTTGGAAGTGATGACCTCAGATTATAAAGATGTTTTACTAATGTAAAATCAAAGCCTATATTATATAACCCAGTAAAATGTATGATGAATTGAATCCAGTAAATTATTTCATCATGTAATAAAAAGAATTGGAATTGATTGGAATGCTTTGAAGTGGATTTATATTTTTCATAGACAAACATCATTCCAGATTCTAGGAGTTTGGTACCCTGGCTCAGCTAAAACAATTTCTGTTATATGGACAGTTAAATATGGCAAGAATGAACTGCACTAATTCAAAGGAGAGTTGAGCAGCTGTCCAAAATGAGTGTTGATGCAATGTATCTTAGTTCTCTTTTATATAAAATTCTACGGGTTTTTTTTTAACTTGCAGACTGTAGTTACTCAGAAAGTTCTGCAATTGTCCCCTATAGTTCGGGAACAGCTATAAAAAACTATCTGTTCCACCACTTCAACTTCCCTGAAAAAACTAATATGTGAAAGGATTTTCCTGCTAAGTGAAATCTGTGACCATATGCATATGGTAACTGGGCCATTTTTAATCAAAGCTCCTCTCCAACATTTTGATACTACATTTTTCACCAGCTTAGGTTTTGCACATTAGAGAAAGTGCACTGGTACTAGATTAATCTAAAAGTTAAAAAAATATGTGTAACTATAGCAAGACAAACTGTCTCTAAAAAAGATAATAGTACAGCTAGCTAAAACAAAATCTACATTGCTTTCAGTTGCCCTTCTAAGATGATCTAAAATCACTCAAAACTGATACTGATTCTTTTTTAAAGGAAATATATTCTTCCTAAATACTTTCAATATGTTCTGCTTCTACTCTTATTCAGGACTTCTACAGATTTCTTCCCTAGGATAAAATAGAAGAAACGTGTGTAAAGCCAGAGTAAAACCACATTCTGGCTATAAAACAGCATGGAAGACAAGATACCAGGGCCAAGGACAGTCATGGCAAATATTTTCGGCACAGAGTGCTGAAACCGGAACATGTGTGTGCATACGTGTGTGTGTGTGTGTGCATGCCGGAGCACTGGAAACCCGAAGACCAGCTGGCCGGTGCGCATGCACATGCCGGCCAACTGATCTTTGGGTTTCTGGCGCTACGGCGTGCTTGAAGAGCAGCTGGCTGGCACGCACAACTGGAAGAGCAGCTGGCAACAGCACACGTGCCCACAGAGAGGGCTCAGCGTGCCACTTCTGGCACGCTTGCCATAGGTTCGCCATCATGGGCCTAGGGGATCTCACAAAGCCTGAATGAAATCTGAATGAATCTCCACATCAAGAATTGTCTTCAACAAACTATTAGCCTACTATGACTGAAAAATATGTCATTTATATGTATTTGAGTCAGACCTCAATTCCAAATTAACAATGACTTACATCATGAAAACAAAATATCAAATAGTATAATAAAAAAATATAAAATATACCCTATTAAACAAGAGGGCAAATCCAATCAGTATAACAAAATATATACAACACTAGGCAACTGGACCCCCCCCCCCCATCCTAGCCCAGATCCTGAGAAAAGAATCAGGTCTTTAAAGTCCTCTGGAATTCCATGACAGTGACAGCCACCCAGAGATCAGGGAAAATCTCATTCCAAGGACAGACACTGTAGCAGAGAAGGCACATTTCCAGGTCCCAGTAGCATCGCTTAATTGAAGGAACCTGGAGAGGTGTAGGCCGACACCATAAGAAACAGGCAATCCCTGAAATAACCAGTATCTATGCCATGTGGGGTTTTATAGGTTATATACAGCACCTTGAAATGGACCCAGAAGTAAACTGTCAGCCAGTTCAGTTTACTGTCCACACTGATTCTGGACCAGTTGAGCTTCCAAGTGGTCTTTGAGGACACCCGCATGTAGAACTTGTTGCAGTAATCTAGCTATCAGATGAGTGACTGTGTGAAGGGCTTCCCAATCTAGGAAACAACAGCACACCAAGTGAAGCAGTGGAAAGGTCTTCCTGGCCACATTTGATATCTAATCATTGAGCAAGAGCTGTGAGTCCACTCCACACTCCCAGATTGCATATGATTCTTGAATTAAAAAGAAATGCTACCTTGGCCAAAGTTAAGAGATTAAATATCCAGATTGTGATACCACTTAGTCTTGGTAGAACTGAATTGGAGACAGTTCCTCCCAGTGGTATGCTTGAACTGGTTCATTCTAGCTTGCAAGAACTTGGAGGGTAGAGCCAAGGACTTTGTGCAGTATCTGTATGACAAAATCGCTCAAATTCGGGAAGACTTGGACTCTGACTGGGTAGATTCAGGAGGAGTGATGGAGGCAGGTCTTGAGACTGTTATCTGGGAGGAGTTTGACTATGTGACTCCCGAAGATGTGGACAGGATTCTGGGTAGACTTAGCGCGGCCACATGTTTATTGGACCCGTGTCCCTCCTGGTTGGTGCTGGCTTCTCGGGAGGTTGCACGAGGCTGGCTCCAGGGGATTATTAATGCTTCATTGAGTGAGGGTGATTTCCCGCCACCTTGAAAAAGGCGGTGGTAAGGCCTCTTCTTAAGAAGCCTTCCCTGGACCCGGCAGCGTTAGTAAATTATCGTCCAGTCTTCAACCTCCGCTTTGTGGCGAAGGTTGTTGAGAGTGGTGGCGTGACAGCTTCCCCAGTACCTGGATGAAACGGTTTATCTAGATCCGTTCCAGTCGGGTTTCAGACCTGGGTACAGCACGGAAACGGCATTGGTCGCATTGGTTGATGATCTCTGGAGGGCTCGGGACAGGGTTTGTTCCTCTGTCCTGGTTCTATTAGACCTCTCAGCGGCTTTTGATACCATTGACCATGGTATCATGCTGCACCAGTTGGAAGAGTTGGGGGTGGGGGGCACCGTGTTGCGGTGGTTCTCCTTTCTCTCTGACCGGTTGCAGTCTGTGTTGGCAGGGGGGCAGAGGTCGACCCCGAGGCGCCTTGTGTGCGGGGTGCCACAAGGGTCGGTCCTCTCGCCCCTTCTGTTCAACATTTATGTAAAGCCGCTGGATGAGATCATCCGTGGTTTCGGGGTGAAGTACCACCAGTATGCTGATGACACTCAGCTGTACATCTCCACTCCGGGCCACCCCAATGATGCCCTTGAAGTGATGTCCCGGTACCTGGAGGCTGTGCGGATCTGGATGGGGAGAAACAGACTCAGGCTCAACACATCCAAGACCGAGTGGCTGTGGTTTCCAGCATCCCGATATAGCCAGTTGGTGCCAGCACTGATTATTGGGAGTGAGTCGTTGGCCCCCACGAAGAGGGCTCGCAACTTGGGTGTCCTCCTGGATATATGGCTGTCTTTAGAAGAACATCTGACAGCTGTGGCCAGGAGGAATTTTTATCAGGTTCGCCTAATTCACCAGTTGCGTCCCTTTCTGGATCGGAACTCCTTATGCACGGTCACTCATGCCCTCGTCACTTCCTGCCTCGACTACTGTAATGCTCTCTACATGGGGCTCCCCTTGAGGAGCACCCGGAGGCTCCAACTGGTCCAGAATGCGGATGCGCGGGTGGTAATGGGAGTGACATGGTGCTCCCATGTAATACCTCTCCTGCGCGAGCTGCACTGGCTCCCGGTGGTCTTCCGGGTGCACTTCAAGATATTGGTTACCACCTTTAGAGCGCTCCATGGCTTAGGAGCTGGGTACTTACGAGACCGCCTTCTGCCACTGGTAGCCTCTCACCGGCCAATACGCTCCCACAGAAAGGGGCTCCTCAGGGTGCCGTCGGTCAAACAGTGTCAACTGGCGGCCCCCAGGGGGAGAGCCTTCTCTGTGGGGGCTCCAGCCCTTTGGAACGAGCTCCCCCTGGAGATACGGAGGATCCCGGATTTACACACTTTCCACCGTGCCCTCAAGACTTTATTCCAACAGGCTGGGCTGGCCTAACTCTTTTTAACTGTTTAATATTAATTTTAATTTGCTTTTTAAAAAGGGGTATTTTAATTAGTATGCGCCAAATTTGTTTAATATGTTTTAAATTGTTTTTTAAATTTTATATTGTATTTTATCTTTGTCTGTTCACCGCCCTGAGTCCTTTGGGAGAAGGGCGGTATATAAATCCAAATAAACATAAACATAAACTGATTATTTAATTTTGGGGAATTTAACACTACCATCCTGGTTCTGCCACAGGTCATTTATATAGGCCATCTACAAAGTGTAATCAGGGCTATCACTGTTTAGATAATCTACTTCTAAGGTTTTTATCAAGAAGGAAATCCTAGAAAGATAAAGAATTGTAATTAGGATCGTGGCTAGCCAACTAGAAAAGGGTTTTGTTCTAAATAACTGTAATGTAAATACAGCTACAGCTGGGGTTTCAAACTCAATTTCACTGAGGGCCACATCAGGATTGAGTTTGACTTTGGAGGGCCAGATGGGGGCATGGCCATGGTGGGCGTGACACAAGACCGCACCTCCGCAGACATGGTTTTATAAACTTATAAAAATAGAGAGGCATACATTTCTGTGATTTTGTTTTTTTAATACTTACTTGATCTACTTGATCACCTTATGAGAGAGGGACCAGATCAAGAAATTGACTCCATAGGAAGACTAGAACTATATTGACATAGGCTATAGTAGCTGTTAGATTGGGTAATGGAAGAGGCAGGACGCGGCTTGTAGCAAAACAACAGCTCTTTATTGAGCAGATCGCTGCAACACAGCAGCCGGTTCGTCTGACAACTTGCCCTTTTATAGGGAGCTGTCAGATGGCTTGGCCAATGAGGTTTGAGTATTTCCGTTTTGTCGACCAGAGTGGAGCCTATGCCCACTCCTAGTTAATAACAGTAGCAGAATCCTACAAGCCTGAGAGATAAAATATTTTACTTTTCCTCCCTTTTGTAACCTTCTGAGTCAAGGACGGCCTCCTGCAGCACTCCGGAGGCCCCATTTTGGGCCTGGAAGCCCCATTTTGGGCCTGGGTGACTCCGGAGGCCCCTGGAAGGCTTCCTGGACCATTCTGGAGGCCAAATGCAGTTGTGGGGGGGCACCCGTGCCCCGCCCATGCCCCATTTGTGCTAGCAGAGGCACTGCGGGATAGTCCTTTGCTATTTCCAGACCGGCCCCGCAGGCCTTGAGTTTGACACCCCTGAGCTACAACAAAACAAAAATTAACTCAAAACTATATGGTGAAGATAAGACATGGTCTCATGCTTATGACTTAAAAGTGCACATTTTGGGAACCAACAATCATTACTTGATGAAAGATGAGGATTTGGAAATATTTTGTAAGGAAAATATTGTGCAAGTAATCCCTAGAAGATGGGTTACTGTACATATAGCATATGCACATAGATACCAGGCAGGCCCATATTCTTTCATTACACGGTCCTATTCAAGAATTACATTTTATTAGCATTTTAATATTCTTCTGTTCTGATTATTTTTCACATGACCATATTCTTTAATTATTTTATTGTTTTTTTAGGTAACTAGTGATTAACCAGTAAATTATATCACAACTGTGTATAAATCTTTTCATGGATAGGTCATATCACCATTCTTCCACAAGTTTCCATGGCAATAAATGATGTAATAATATTGGAATTTAGATTTTTTGGGGGCAAAAAACACAAATAGAAAGAACTGGGAAATCTTTGAAATGTGTTCAGTAACCATGAAGAAGTAACGAAGTACGACACAACAGAACATCATTCAGCTGTAATAAATACCCACCGCCTTTCAAATCAAGATTTTAAGAAATAGAAGGGAATTCTTCCTAGCCTCAGTGAGTAGAGATAATGTGCAATCCTCAGCCAAAGATAGCTGTGAATGTTTTTATTGTTTACTGGGATGTTTACCACACTTGTCCATTTCTTTACACTGTTTAGAAAGCTGAATTTTATTCTTTCTTCCTGAAGCATTTTTCATTTGTAAGGGGGAAAAAATGAAATGATCAGGTAAAAAGATAATTATCTTGTTAGCTTAATTTGCTATGCCTTGCCTTTTTCAGCCATTTTCCAACTTCAAAAAAACAGTGCCCTTTTTGACTTAAGCGCTAGGAAATGATTGATTAATCCAAACATTGTGTTGTACTCTTGAAAAATCTGAAAACAGAAATACAGAGACATTTTTCGTTTTACTCAGACCACTTATATATTTCATAGCAGGGTCTATGACAATTTGCCATGGCCAACTCACCACAGTTAACTTGCCGTAGCCAACTCACTCCGGGGCAAGAGTTACACTAATATCAAAGAAATGGTGGAATAGAATCATTAAAGAAAGGATGCAAAAGGAAGAACAAAATGAAATGTGAATGACAAAAATTAAAATATTTATTTTAAATAATTAAATTTAATTGTCAAATTGTTCTATGGCAAATTGTCCCACAGCAAATTGGCCATGGCGAGTTGGCTGCAGCAAATAGTCCCATTCCATTCATAGCATGAGTGTTATTTTGTTTTCCACATTCCATCCAACATCCTATCTAAATGGTACTCTGAGAATTTTTAGTAGTACATTTAGTGTTTTATTGGCACTCAAATTGGCAAGGTCTCGTCAGGCATCAGAGTGAACATTCATGTCTAAAACAAAAGAAAATTTTATAATCTTCATTCCCAGTTGGACATGGTTGTCTAAACATGCCAATTTTACTTCATAGATGAATAATTGTTATATGACTATTTAAGAGCCCAAACTTTTTAGAACTCTCATATAGAGTTCTAGATAAATACAAAGTTATACGTTTTTTTCCTTTATTCAAACATAATTTCAAGCAATTAACTAATTAGACGGAAAATAAATATGCTGAAAACAATGGTAGTTCCTTCCTTAAACTTCCTTAAACTGTTACTTAAATGATATAGTCAAACTGCAAATAATGATTTAAATCTGGCTACTGTAGTTTAACGAATAAGGGACAGAATGAATTTAGCCTACTTAACCTATGTAAAGAGATCCAAATTTAGAGATTCAAATTTGAGATCTGGATCTCCATATCTCTGAGAAGATCCTGTAGAAACTGCTGGCTGCTACCTCTTCAAGAGCAGAAAGAGGGAAATGAAGAGATTACTAGCAAGCCAGTCTGCAACATGTAAAATTGCTCAGTATCCTTATTATATTCCTACTTAGTAAATTTTTTTAAAGTATCTTGTTATTTCCAATAAAGACAGGTCATCATGGATAAAATCTATTTTGCGATTGCCAAGAGTCAACAATGACTTTATGACATAATCATAATCAGACTGTTTGTGATGATACATTTATATAACTTGCCATAGTATAGCTTTTACAAAATCCAATATGAAGTCAGTTTGACATTCATATACAATTGTGTTGGCCCTTGCCCACTAATGGGGTAATATTATGTAGAATATATATGAGTGTACAAGTACTAGAACTGAAGGAGTTCTGGCTCTAGAGAAGTCAAATTGCTTTCTACTACTTGCCAGAATAATTATCCATTTGGTGTGTGCTTATCAAATATTGTTGAAAAAAGAATTGCTACAAAATATTCTGCTCCAAAGGGGAACTACACTATAAAGTATCTGAAATGTGTAATTTCAAACCATTAGGAGTGACATTTTTGCTATAATGAATTATACCCAAACAAAATGATAGCTTTCTCCTTGATATAAAAGTGCCTTGCTTCTTTCAATTCTGTACTGAAAATATACTCTGCTATTCTAGGAATGGTGTATTTATTTAGAGAAAATCATATACAGTTTAGTTTAAGAACAGCAGTTCTTCCCTATTGTTGTATTATAATTTTCCTTTGAACAGTTAATTATGTTGCCTGAATAACCAAGAGGACAAAGACTGTGTTTTCTTTGAATTTAATACTAAATTAATATATTATTCCCACATTTTCAGTAGTCACCTTTCTCCATATATACAAGCTGCCACACTTGTTATATATTGCATTTTTGCTTTCCCTTTGTCTACTTTCCCCGTTGTCCTCTTGATAATTGATAATCAAGAGAAATAATCCCTCCAGTGTTTTTAGTACACTTTCATAAGGACTTTGCTAATAACTTGCAAAATCATCATAATTTTAGTAATTTTTCCTTCCAACTATTAAATGTATTTTTTCTGTATTATTCTTTTACAAAACCTATCTATGCAGGTCTTTGGTCTGAGTTCAGTATGCTCAACCAAGTAAAATTGTAAAATAATTAGTCTCACTTCAACAAGATGTGAGATTCCTTTGGAAAGAAACCTCTGATAGTCACATAATGCCTTGATAAGGTTCAGACTCATGTTAAGTAACTAAAATTCTCTTTATGTAAACAGGGAAGTTAAGCACCAATATTTCCCTTTACTTTCTTTTTTCCAAGATACTTTAGCGCATGGGTGTCAAACTCATGGCATCACGTTGCCACAACATGAAGTTTCATGACGTTTTTTCCCTTCACGGAGCTGGGGTGGGCATGGCCTGCGCATGACACACCTGGCCAGCGGGCCGCCAGTTTGACACCTGTTGTTTAGCTCAATAGGAATTATATAGCTAAAACCTATTCTGACACTATGACCCAAACATTCCCTCCCCTCATAGCTATTTGGTTGAGGGAGAACTGATTTTGGTTTTAAGGGTACTTATACTTTGCTCTGTTGCATTGTTTTATTCCTGTATTGTAGATACTGAAATGGGACTTACCGGAATACTGAATTACATACTAGCCCTAGAACCATTTGATGTTATTGTGGTTCCATTACAACTAAAGGCAAAAAGTTACCTCAGTCAGGATTAGCTGTATGTATGATGACTTTTAAAATCACAACTGCTCTCATATGAATGTTGCTTTATTTGTGCTAGCACCAAAACAGGAGATGCCTCACAGGCATGTTGGGAAGCCAAGCCCTGCAGTTCATGGCTCATCGCTTTCTATGAACGGGATGTCACTGTATTTGCTTTCATTTATTGCCCATTGCTTCACAGCTTGATCCAGAATCTCAAGGGAAAGACGGTGAGCAAAGTCCAGCACTGCAGTGTTTGTTGAAGATGGCATCCCAGAGTTTGCCTGAATAAGGGAAGATTTTTCAAGGTTACATCCACTATCGAATTTGCCGACTTCCCTGCTTCCATCGTCTAGAATAGTGTGCGGGAAGGGGCTTTTGGATTTTATACATCCCATGGTACGACTGCTATTCAATTTAGCTGCACAGTCAGCCTTGATGTATTGTCCTTTAGAAGGGTACAGAATGTCACTTTCTTGCAAGCAGAGATGAGAGTATGCACTTCTCCCAATATCTGTGGGTAAAAAAATTAACATTGCAGGGTTTAGAATGTTACTTCTTCCATTTATTTTTGTGTTCGGCACATGTAAAAGCAGATTAATTTTTTTAAAAAAATCCAACAGGAAGGAAATCTTGGGAATTTCTTTTTGTTTCGGCCTTAAATGGAACTAGTTGTTTTTCATAAATTCAAGTTCTAGACTCCCAGCTGAGTTCTTGTCAGCATCTTAACTATCATAAATACTCAAAAATCATACCTTCCTCCTATTTATAGGGCTTGAAATAATGACCTTACCAATAGTTTCAACTTACAGCTTGAATTGGTTTCGGATATTTGATATTTAATAATCAAAGAAAGTAGCTGCAGCATACTAACACAGCAATCCCTCATTCAAGATTACATTGGAGAAAACTCAGTAACTCAGACTGATTTAAAGTCATGGTAAGATAGAGAACAGAAAACAAGAATGGGGGCTTCCATCCATCCATGGATGGATAGATATAGAATACTTTTTAATATGGTAGTTATTCTAATAAGTATTAGAAAAAAGAAGTAGAAAGTAGAAATTTGGAAAATAATATTATGTATACTGAAATATAATAGAACATATTATGATTACTATTATATACACAAATGTTAGAAGTTGAAAAAGTATGATTATATATATTTAAATGGTAATATCACTATTAGAATTGTATGCAAAATATATTGACCCAGATAACACACACTGTCCACTGAACACTTATGGATGTTAAAGAAAAAAATATTTTAAAAATTATTACGAAAAAAAGGAATGTGGGCTGCCAGACACCACTGGAATTCTAGATTATTTAAAGATAAAATAAATAAAATTCATAACTCAGCAAACCTTGAATATTATGTTAAATTAACATTATAGCCATTACTTCCTATACTTTGTTAACTACTTCTTAAGAAAAGTCAATAGGCTGCTGGCAAAGTATTACAGCAGCTACAAAGATAGGAAGGGAAAAAAAATATTATGGATGCATGAAGGCACATTCCAATTCACGTTAGCAATTTTTGAATACAACATCCTTCTGTTATAAAACCTCAGGAAAGCATTTGTGACCTCTTCTGAAGAACTGCCTCTCAAGCCTACTGCTTTGCCGTATCCCTCCACTCCTCAATTATTTAAAAAGCTTACATTGACCCACGTGATCTTTTACGAGATGGAGCAGAAGATGTGAATTTCCTTGAATACTGGCAGCCTTGCAGCAGAAATTCATTGCACAATAGGAGTAGACCTTGAATCTAACAATAGTCTACCCAATACTAGAAAATAGATCAAAAGCAGAATGGTTTGTGTTAAACTGCTCATGAAGACACAATGTTGTTTAAAACACTATGATACTGTGTGGAGCATATGGAAACCTGTTCTGCATATTTCGAAGCATTAACATACAAACAAGTATTATAAACCCATATTCAGGTGGGCCCTAAGCAGCAATCAATACTGATACTCACTGCAATATTGTTCAGATTCATTAAGATTACTTTATACTATATATAGAAATGTGGTATTATTCTAGCTCATAAAACCCTTATGACCATGTAGCACTTAGACCAATCACAGGTGAAGAGGTGAAAAGCCCCTCCCTCATCAACCAGCTATCACTGATAACATAGTTTTTAAACTGAGAAGTAACAGCCTGAGTTTTCTGGGCAGGGCTGCCTAGCTTTTCTTCTATGTTCAAAATTAAATTTTCAAAATTAGCCTACCCTTGTTTATTGATGAATATATGCTGCTTCTAAACAATATTAACAATTTGAGCTTGCAACAATTGACTAATTTTCTAGATTAAATAGTCACAACTAATTAAATTGTGACTGTCTAGGACGTTGTACAACCTAGACCACCCCCAAAGGTACAGTGTCAACTCATCTTTAAATCTATATAAAGCTATAAGTATTATATTTCAGTTTAAAGAGAGCAGAATGGAACAGTTTAGCATCTACAGTATCTTCAGAAACTTGATGAAACTTGAATTATGCAATTTATTTATTTATTTATTTATTGGTTCGATTTATATGCCGCCCTTCTCCGGAGACTCAGGGCGGCTTACAATGCGTTAAGCAATAGCGTTCATACTTTTGTATATACCCGCTTAGTAGGGCTTTCGAGGCCTCCCAAGCGGTGTTCTTTTTTATACAAAGTCAGCTTATTGCCCCCACAATCCGGGTCCTCATTTTACCTACCTCGAAAGGATGGAAGGCTGAGTCAACCTTGAGCCTGGTGAGATTTGAACTTGCAGTAATTGCAGACAGCTGGTGTTACTTAACAGCACTTTAGTCTGCTGCGCCACCAAGGCTCATATATATTATCAATATAACATATATTATATATTATTATCAATATATGTTATCAGTAGTTCCAATTTATTAATTCATTATTGTTTCATTCAATTTAGATAGCCAGTGATCACATGGAATTGACTTTACGTGGTATGCAAGGATTAAAACCAACCCCCCCAAAAAAGTTAGCAGACTAAATAACAAGTGTCTGTTATCAGAGAAATAATTCCAATTTCAAAAAAGAACATTACAACTCAATCAATCAACAGACCTTGCTCAATTTCCTGGCACAAATGCCTGGAGGAATAGCCAGGTCTTTAAATATTACTAATGGCTTTGAATTAGGCTTAATATATTTTTTCAAAAATATGTTTAAAACTGAAGTCTTGTCAGCCACAAGCCCTCTGTCTTTTAAAATATTAGTTAATACTTACCTTCAAAAAGAGAACTTGTTAATCCCTACTTCTTCAGAAGATCTAAAATGATCCATTACAACTTCTCCAGCCTAGTGCTTCTCAAATTCATTCTGAGTCGAAATCTAAGAATTTGCACCTTGGGAAAGGCTAGTGGCGAGGCTAACACTTAAGCTATATGTAATTATTAGCTTTGATTATTGCATATGTCACTAAGCGTGCTCACTTAATGTTCTAGGCAGACAAGCAGGAAATTGAAAGCAACAGGTAAACTTATTAGTAAATAAATGTATTTAAATTCTAAAGGACATTCTGGCTTCAGATTTCATTGGATGAAATTACTTTTACTACTCTCAACAATGATATCCTTCTAAATCAGGGGTCCTCAACCCCCGGTCCTTGGACCGGCACTAGACCACAGCATGCCAGAACTGGGCCATGCAAACAAGCAAAACCCCATCTGCAGGGTGCAGGCAGCACTCAAAATCATGCCCCCTCCAGTACACAGAAAAACCTCTCTCCACAGAACTGGTCCCTGGTGCCCAAAAGTTTGGAGGTCGCTATTCTAAATCATCTGGCAGCTGGCCTGGTCCAGAGGGTGGAGCAAAGGATTGTTTTTCAAAACCTATATACTGTCTTCTGGTGTACCTCAGGGCTCTACCTTGTGTCTCATGGTGTTCAATATCCACAGTGAGCTTTCTGGGCCATACTGGGAAAATTTATCCGGAGATCTGGATTAGGGGGCTATTAGCATACCAAGGATAGTTACTGTATTTCTCCTGCAACTTATTATCTACTTTCAAAGTATGAGTTTGATAATGAGCTCAATGAGGGAGACCAAACTGAAATTAAATCCAAAGAAAATGGAGATGCTGTTCGCAGATGGGCACTACTCTTGGGAATGGAGCTTCAGACTCTTCTAGATAGGGCTTCTCTTGTACTGAAAGGGTAGGGCTAAAGTCTAGAAGTACTTCTTAATACTTTAGCTGCAAGTAGTGGCTTTGGTAAAAAACTCAGTTGAATGTGCACAAGTATGACTACTATAGCTATGATTTCTCCTAAATAAACCATCAGATCTGGTGACAGTTATATACTAGATTATTGCATCTCATCTTGACTTTTATAATGAACTTTATATGGGACTACTTTTGAAAAATGTCTAGAAATTATACTTGATGTAAAATGCAACTGCTAATGTTAGGTAGAAGATTCATACAGTGCCTACAAGTAAATCTTGCTAGTTGCCAATCGCTTCTCGGCCTTTTGGCTAAAATCAATTGTAATATGCTACTTACCAGGTATAACGTATCAGTATAACTTATCTGTAACTACAAGAGTTGCTATTTGAAAATTCAGAGGGCTTGAATCAGAAAAGCTCAACAATAATAGATATGTATGTTGCTGCAGTAATTAAGTAAAGGGAATGAACCAACAGAAAGCCATCACTTTATCTATGTGAATACTATACTGCATAGCCTCCCAACACTTTATCTAATTCAGTTAATTATGAACCATACAAATTCAAAAATAATTCAGGGATTATTGCTCTAAATAGCTTTTCAGGCATTTTCTTCAAGAAAATGTTAAAATTGAAAACAGTGTATACAGGTAGTCCTCGACTGATAACCTTTTATTTAGTGAACATTCAAAGTTACAACGGCCCTGAAAACAGTGACTTGTTTTTCACACAACCGTTGCAGCATACCCATGGTCACATGATCAAAATTCGGACATTTGGCAACTGACTCATTCATGACAGCTGCAATGTCCCGGAGTCATGTGATCACTTATTTTGACCTTCTGAGGAGCAAAATCAATGGGGTAGTCAGATTTACTTTGCAACTGTGTTATTAACTTGAAAACTGAAGATTCATTTAATAATTATGGCAAGAAAGGTTATAAAATGGGGCAAAAGTTACTTATCAACTATCTCACTTAGCAACAGAAATTTTGGGCTCAGTTGGTCATAAGATGAGGACTACATGTATTGGGATAACCTGTTTAAAGTAAATGTAAGGATTGGTCAGGATATAATTCATACCTAAAAGTGTAAACTTTTTGTGGCATTTATTAATCCTGATCCTGCTGGATTTATCCATTAAATTCCAATAGTGTGAGCATTTGTTACTTTGAGTACTATATCCACCAATGTTGCTATAATAAAAAAGTTAAATCAACTGACCATACCACTCAAAGCATTGTTTATTTTGAAGTGTTTTAAGACTATCTTTTGGTCCTGAGAAATGATTATGCTAAGCAAATCTTTTTGATTCCTTAATAGATCATTATCTTGGCTAGGTTTACTCAGACACATGGAATTCGGTATGTAAGCCAAGAAAAATAAATAAATTTAATCAAGCAACCTTCATCATTGAAGAGATCATTCTGAAATTACCGATATATGAAACTACTAAGGAAATGATGGGTTGGATAAAAAACACATGACATAATTTTCATAGGGGGGGCTCTCAGGGACATCCTTTATCAATTATGGAGGATTTCATCAAATCCCAAATTGTTGCTACAGTTCACCGAAGAGGAAATGCTTTAAGAACAGGAGATTAATTAGCACTGAAGTATATAATATATGTATTAATGCAAGCATTCTCTGCTGTCAATTATAGAATACTTGGATGTATTCCAATGTATGTCTTTGACAATTAAAAAAAGTTATATATATAGGAAGATTGTACAGCATGAAAATCTGAAAGTGCAATATATATATATATATATATATATATATTCCTAGGCGATTTGAGAAATTACTTCTATTTTCCCATGGGGGAAACTGTAGGACACTTAGTGTCAAACAAATGCATTCCTATGGCCGATTAGGGTAGACTATTGAGTCTCATGATAACTCCCATTAAGGATCCAAAGAGGGAAAGGAAATACATTAAGTAAATAAATCAAGATGAAATATCTATGCCTTCTAAAGGGTGTTGGATTTCCAATTCCCATTTAGTCAGCATAGTTAGCAATCAAGCTCCCAAGAAGGTGGGAACTAGAACCTTAAAACCTTTAAAGAAGTTGTGTTCTTTTCCTAGATTTGCATATAAGGCAAGGAAAAGGCAGATTTCATTTAGGGAGAAGGGCAATAGGTGCTACAAATGCAACTACAATTAAAACATTTTTCCTTTCAAAATCAGAATGCTATACAGCTTTATGGGCAGCCTACCCATTTTATACCCAGTATACTCTATTCCAAGAGCTTTATTTGGAGTCTCTCTCTAAAGTTTTACTCAATAAACATTCAGAATTCTTTAATTAACAGTGTAATTTTTTTTTCATGCAGCCATAGACTCTCTCTAGAGAAAATACACACACACACCTTAATCTATTAAACTATCTTAAACTATTTTCATTCAGTATAACTCGCTAAAATTTTTTGATGATTTTCACAGTTAGTTTGAGGAGCCAATGTATTATTTATTTATTTGTTTGTTTGTTTATTTATTTATTTGATTGATTGATTGATTGAGTGATTTATATGCCACCCTTCTCCGGAGACTCAAGGTGGCTTACAATGCTTTTAAGCATTGTTAACATAATGGCTAACTGTATCTTTTTAAAATACCTGCTATCCAACATTATTTGCAATGCTGGCTATGGAAGCTAATATACAACTTCTAAACAAAGTTTGATACAAATAAAAGTTTTTCCTGTGCCATGAGGGTACATGGCACGGATGACAGTCACTGCAAATAGCTTGATATGTCTACATTTCCCAAAATCATTTTGATTGATTTTGGTTATGAGAGAAATTATTTAAT